ATCCATCCATCCATCCATACATACATACATACATACATACATACATACATACATACATACATACATACATCCATCCATCCATCCATCCATCTATCCATCCATCCATCAATTTATTTATTTATTATTTTTTATATATACAGGGGCCCAAAAACGATTCTGCGGGAAGGGAGGTAGGGGTCTTTTTTTTCTAGTTCCGCAACTGCACTAAAGAATTTAGGCTGTCGTGATCCAGCACATCTTTGTTTGATTATGGGATCTTCTTATTTCCTAACCACTTTTTCTTTAAATCAAGTTTTAAGTGGTTTTACTAACGGGAGAGAACTCAAGAATTGTTTTGTTAAAAATCCTTGCGGTGCGTAATTTATCCTTAGTTAATTAATCATTGAGCTTACTAGGTTGAGATTTTAGGTATCATAAATTAATTGCATCAGTCATAAAACCAGTTTATAAATTATTTTAAATTTGTATATTAAAATAAAAGATGGCATAACCGACCAACGCATTAACTTATTGATTAATTCCTTATACACTATTTGTTTCATCAATTACTTCTTTCTTTTAGCCTTGCTTTAGCTTAAAATCTTTATCACGAAGTTCTTTCCGAACGAGAGTATTTTCTTTATTTATAATCATTTAAATTAGGTTTACGCGTCTATTCGTGCACTCTAAAGGGATTATTGTTTGTTCGCTCTTTCAAACAATAGTCGAAATTACTGTAACATGTTCTCCTTCATCAAAATTTGGGTTCCAGAAAATAAGAGGTGCTACGGCACCGGAGCAGATAACAGACATCTGGATTTCTCTCACGTGACCTCGTTGATCGTGAGGACTCGGACAATAAATAAACGGGCAAGTTCTTGAACTGTTTTTTCTGCTTTCATCCGAGGTAGGAAACTTGCAGTATTTTATCCCACTTGGGGTGGTTCTTCATCAAACGCTTTTGAGTCTGTTGTTGATTTGTTAACTATAACTGTTTAATATTAATTAATTAATATCGATAATGAATTTTATTTATTTGTTATTGTGTTTCTAAATAAAAATGTAACATATTTTAGCAATCTAAGTAAATCTTTGATGGCTAATAACATTACAGGTTCTTTTGTAAAACTAAATGAAAATGTTACATAGTTTAGCCGTCAAAGTAAATCCTAGTTTGCTAATAACATTACATGTGAAAAGAATTTAAGGTCATAAGACAAATAAATCTATTTTTGTGTCCGTTGTACGTTTTCGACTGTTTAAAATCAACTATCATTTGTTAGTGTTAATTAAGCTTAGACTGAGGGGTTTCATCACGTGCGTGAAGTCACGCTTTATTAAACTATTCCATCACCATCCTCATCGCCATCGTCAATCCATCCTCAGAAAAAAGAAAGGTCCTTCTCATTATTATTGTTATTATTAAAATTTACAAAAAGGTTTTGAAACATGTAAAATAAAATTCAAAAAATTGATCTGTAAAAATATTTTTAAAGTGCTAGCCATGTCTTCTTCACTTGTCATCACATACGACGAACCTCCCCCACCACCCTACCCAGAACCCCAACATTCTCTAAATCAGTGTGATGTCATTTATGGAAACTCGTTCGCTATACAAGTAAAAGCCTTGTTGGGAGGGAGAAAGATCAATAGGATTATGAACATCTAATCAGAGTTTCTTCCAGGCATCTCTTCGGGGGAACAAAGCCCCCCCCCCGAAGAAAGTCTACCGCCCCCCCCCCCCAAATTTCAAGGCCCCCCCCCCCCCCCCCCCGGAGAAAAAAGTCTGGAAGAAACACTGCATCTAATTAAATACAATTATAATATGAACGTATAGGCTACACAAAAACGTAACAATCGAGCAGAATGAAAATAAGAAAAATTTTAATGCATATTTTAGATGTTTTTTATGGAGAAGCTTAATTTTGTTTTGACAATGTGTTCAATAAAATGTTTGACTTACAACTACAGTAAAAAGATACATTGATGTTCCAGGTACAAACAAAAAAATACAGTCGCCATGTCTTTCGTTGCCTACATTTCACTACTGTGCTTTGGTGAGTTATTACTATAACATAGTAAAGTATTGTATACGATTTCTTTTTAAACAGATCTTTGTTGTCGTATTAAATTCATACAAAAACAACAAGAATGACGCTACATTATTGACCTATTCAATTGCTAGCATTCAGTGGTGATTATGTTGAATAATAGGGCTGGTAAGTCTCGGTCTCTCTCACTAAAAATTTGAAATCTCGTTAGCCAGGGAGAGATATGCACTTTCAAATTAAATTCGCATTGATGACAAAAATATGCCTGTAACTTTTTCTAGGCACCGCTTTAAGATTTTAAATACCAAGAGTACTCAAAATGCAGCTATTACAACATTTTTACTAACAACAGAAGTAAATTAAGTATCGGTAGACATAGACTATCAATAATATAATATTATTATTTTAATTAAGTTTTGGCCAACTTGCCACGGATTCAAATAATAGGCAACAATACTCGTCTTTTAATGTAGGCTATATTTTTGTGTTAGGTAGCCTACATTTTCTAGTCTTATATAATCTTTCTTTACGAATTTTAATAACTTAAAAATGGGGGAAGTAACTTTTCTATTGATTCATTTTTTACCGATTTATTTAAAAAATATTTACATTTGGTTTTTAAAAAAAATAATAGTTGGGAAGTACGTAAACTAGAAGTTGGTGGCATACTTAGAAGCCTCATATTCGACATTTTTTCTGCATGTTCAATATTATTAAATAAAGTGAAAAATGGGACATAAATAAAGCGAAGTTACTCTAGCTTAATTATTTCACCAGCGGTGGCGTGTGCCCATCCAAGCACTAACGGAGATTCGGACAAGAGGAATCTCCTGGAACTTGGCACCCTGCTCGGTACCGTCACCGGAAATCCAGCCCTGGATTACAACGGATATGGATGCTACTGTGGATGGGGAGGCGCTGGTACCCCCGTTGACGCCGTGGATAGGTAAAATAATAGCTACATGTGTAGGGCCTATAATGGCTATTCCTTTGCTTCCGACATAATTATATTTTTTAATTAATGAAAAAGCGCATATATAAATTTAAGTCAGTACATATTCGTATACTTACTTCGTATACTTTTTATATTGTGTACAGTAATACATGATTTGTATTACACGCCACAATTTTTCGTCAAAAAAGCAACGTTCATAATGAATGTGTATCGGATGTTCAAGCTCCTATAATTAGCTTATTTAGAAAAACTAAAATATTGCATGACGATGAACATATATAGCATCTTACTTCGTGAATGACATTATGCAATTATGATTGTTAAACTTGTTTATATTTTCCTTTGTAACATGCAAAAGCTGTGATCGTCGTACGCGTCAATCTTTTTTTTTTATTAGTTTTTTTTTTTTACTAAACCTAAATATTCAATAATTTTTTTTTTTTTTTTTTTTTTTTTTTTTTTTTTTTTTAAAGTTTAGGGGAGATCACTCCCGGTTTATTTTTAAAGGTTTTTTTTTTATGAGTAAGTAAAATTTTTTTTTTTTTTTTTTTTTTTTTTTAGAGTAAAAGAAACCTGTAACTTTATTTAGGTTGTATATATTAAACAATAAAACAGGCATTACAGCAGCTATAGTCAGTAAAAAGCATCCGCTATTTCCAATTTTTTTTTTTTTTTTTTGTGTTTTTTTTTTTTTTTTTTTTTTTTTTTTTTTGTAATACTTTTATTTGCAATTAAAACAAGTACATCAACATAACATCAAATTTTTTAACATAATTTTGAACACCAAATGAAAACGAAAGGTTTTGCAAATGTACATAATGAATATTTACATGATGTCATGTATTTGATTATAAAAAAAATTGCAAAGGATGACAGTAAAAGGGGTGAAGGTCAAATGAAAGTGTCAGAAGTCTGGGTGGGGAGAGGAAAAAAAAATTTTTCAGAGAGGGTCAATGGGACAGTGAAGCATTTTCTATGTAGGGAAACAACTTAAGTTGACTAGTTGAAAGGGTGTTGTAGTGGTCGCAATGAGTTTTCAAAAGGTTGCAGTGTGAAAGATGAGGGGAAAGAGACAAGATTTAGAACTTTAAATAAGTTCTGGATATTGATGTTGCGGTGGGTGGTGGGGTCGTTGGAACAGTTAAAGGGATTGTGGGGTTATCATGTCTGAGGGTAAAGTGGATAGAGGGGGAGAGAGGAGGGGGTAGATTTTTTTTCTTTATTAATTCAATTGTTTTAAACATTTAAATCAGTAATAATAATATATTTGATATATTTTACATAGCATCAAAGACATGAACAATGAACATCAATTGCATATATAATAATCAAAGGGAAAAAATAAAATGGCATAAGAACTAGATTAAAATAAGGTGTGCAAACTAGGTTTCTCTTCACTGCTTAGTTTAGTGTGCTGCGGAGTCAAAAGTTCACACTGTAGCCATCCATGGACATAAATAGAAACGACCGTGGGAGAAGTGTCTCTGCAATCACGTACTGATCTATCATTCCAAAACTTTCCATGACATAAAATTGACCCTCGATGTATTGCTAAAGTGTTTTTTTTTTGGTTCAATGTTTTATTTACCTTTTTTATAATTAGATGAAATTTTAACAACATTGACATCGGTTTAGATACGAAACAGGTAAAGTCGCTATAATTCACCTGAGGTACAATGTGTTGCAGGTGTTGCCAGGTGCACGACCAGTGCTACGGTTCATTGAGCTCGTCTGGATGTTATCCCAAACTTGAGACCTACCACTACACATGCTCGGGCCACTCTTGTCATTGTAGTAAGTTCGATATATTAAATTATGATTATTTCCCAAATTAGTAAGTTGGATTTATTAAATTTCGATTATCTCCCATATTAGTAATTTCTATATACAATTAGCCTTGATAACCTCCCATCATTTAAGTTAGATAAATAAATGTGACTATCTCCTAGATGTCGAATGTGTTATGATTACCTCCCAGTTTAGTAAGTTAGATATAGAATTGTCATAACATCCCATATTAGTAAGATCTATGTACAAATTATTTTGAAAACTTCCAGTTTAATAAGTTCTTTATAGCATTTTGTGTCAACTCGTATTTACTTCCTCTGGGCATAAGCTATTACAACGCGTAATTTGCTTGTTTAAGGAATGTCATTTTAAATGTGTTTAATGTAGATTGAATTACAAATCCTTAAGTAGCCGTCACGTCCTATTTCAGACAGCCAAACATCTTCATGTGAGGACAGAACCTGTAAATGCGACATCGACTTCGCCAACTGTGTGGCCGCACATCCCTACAACGATAGGTACCACAACTACAACCACAACAACTGCTAGAACCTGAATCAACGAAAATAACCACACCAACTGCTAGCAACAAAAGACTTCTAATAAATGTTTCATATTTATCAAGAAAAACCAAAATCTTCGTACCTTTGTTCACATTTCTATACCTTGTATGCCAAATAGTTAAGTTATTTGTCTATTATTTTGTTTCATGAGTAACTCAAAACCAATACCAAAAAAATCTCAAATATTATATTTATTAATATAAATACAATACTATGCTATACACCATATATCACTATTGCATATTATGACTTTTATTGTTTTTCTCTCCCTGGCCATCCCGGTTGACTTCAAACTTATATTCGATACGAAAATATAAAAAAAAATAAGTGTAATCGATGGTTCCCGAACGGCTTTAATTTTTATAAAAGTAACTATAATTTTATCGCTTGCCATATTTAAAAAAAATTAAATTTACTACGATTACATGGACTTTTCATGTCTATTATTCCCAAAAATATAAAATTAAATTGTGTTTAATATCTTCAAAAAAATAATATCCCTGCACTTACCTTAACATTAGGAGACTCATGTTAAGGAAAGGAAAGACGGCTGGGTATAGGGCTCATTAGATCATTTGTCCTGAGATTATTGTCTGAGATCATTTGTCATGGAAACCCGCACGGATAGTAGGTTTACGATTAGGTTTTAGGGTTGATATTTAAACGACAGATGGTGACAAGGGGAGGGGGTTATGTCGTATATCTGAGCGGAAGGGGGCTTATTTAAAGGGTTAATTGATGGGGATAATTATGTGACGTCGTGTAGGGAATGACCTGAACATAATTGACAGGGGTAATGTCCGGTAACTTCAACATAAGCCACCACTACGTAACCCTGTAACAAGAAACAGGACAAGACTCTCTAACGGTAATTGGTGGCAGTTTTCTATCAAGCTTTTCTTCCGGGTGGGGGGGGGGGCATTTCAAAGCATGTCGACTCCCCTCCCGAAAGTTTTAAGTGCCCAAATTGTAAACTATATTTCGTTAAGTTTATATTCTTTCTGGTATTTCCCCCCCCCCCCCCCCCCCAACCCACACGTCGGGGCACGTAGGCTGCCCCCCGACTAAATGGAAAAAACATACATTTTTAATAGAAAGTATATAATTTAATTCGAAAATGTAGTTCTTTATTCCCCCCCCCCCCCCAAAGATAAGTTGTATTTCTTTTCATCAAGCAGGGGAAACAACTCAAGAAATCTTTAATTCAATATCTTAACCACATTTAACCTTTCTTTTTTGTAAACAAATTAACTTAACAAGTTAGCTTTATATGTAGATTTTATTATAAATTCAACATTCATAAAACTAACAGGCTGTCTTTAACTTTAGAATTTTTCTTTGAAAATTTGTTTGATAAAATGTAGTTACTTGAACAACCAACGCATATACTTATAGACTTTTTTATTATAAAAAATTAAGATGTCAATTTCATTGAATAGAGCAGTTTTAGTTAAAACAGTATTTATTGTGATGCTGCTAAATATCCCCACAGCTCAGTAAATGGCATCATATTGGCGGAGGATAACAAAAAAATAAAGATCTGACTAAATCATTACGTTATGTTGACTGCGTTCCTCTATTCCATGTGTCATTAGGTTTAGCACCCATGTTAGAAATCGCTCTTTTGCACGTTGATGCTTACTGTAAAAGTAAAGGATTGGTCATTGCTGGATATTATCAGGCAAATGAAAATTTGAATGAAAATGAAATGAATCATGTTTCTAAGACAGTGGGCAAGAAAGTTCAGGAGAATTTCCATGATGCTTGTGTCCTAATAATTGACAACAGGAAAGTAAAACCAGAAACAGTTTCCCAGCCATATAAAGTGTTTGCTCATAAAGAAAACGGATGGAAAGAAATAGAAAAGAAGAGCTCCTCAACAGAAGATGAGTTACAAAAAGAACAATGCCTCTACACCCTACTCAAGTCTGGAGCACAGCGACATGTAAAAGATTTTGACAACCATTTAGATGATGTTCGGAATGATTGGAGGAACTTGGAACTTAATGATATGATTGCTCGGTGTATATAACATTGCATCCATTCAGTTATGCAAATTTCATTTTGTAAGATATTAAAATAACTTTTGCATGTAAGTGGCCAGTGAGAGCTGTGAATGTCATAATTTAAAAAGGTGATTGCTTGTCTGTACATGAGTGTTACATTAAGACTATTGTTGCATAGGGAAGAACTCATTCTAAGTGTAATGCTTGTGTTTAACAAGTCTGTATGATGCTAGCATACCTCTTTTTTGTTATAAAATTTATTATATTCAGAATAAAGAATTGTTAAGTGTTGTTATTGATGGTTATCACATTTTCTTAAAATCTCTGTATGCAAACTTTATAGACACATTTCTTTTTCTCATAAACAAAAAGCATTTAATGTTTTGTAAAATTTTCGTTGGTTAAGAAAAATTGAAGACACTTTTTGTCCCAAATGTTAAAAAAGTGAAGTTTTAATATACAACTGATGTAGAAACAAAAAAAAGTCAATAAATGGTGAGGACCACTTAATTTAAAAAAAAAAAAAAACCTTAGTTATGTAAGAATGTTTACATTCTTTTGTGGACCTATAAAAATGGAAATCACATCATCAGAAATGTGAAACATAGCATTACAAAAGATTAATTATTAATATTTATTTGTTTATGTTCTATGGACCTTCTAATGTGATCATGCATTTACTTTTATAAATATTGCATTTGATTGTCTGGAAAATTGATGCAAAAAAAAAAAAAATCCCAGTTAATGACACAATATGCATTTAACATGTGAAATAAAAGAATCTTTAAAAAAAAAAAAAAAAAAAAAAAAAAAATTGTGAATCTTTCAACTAGTCAACTTAAGTTGTTTCCCTACATAGAAAATGCTTCACTGTCCCATTGACCCTCTCTGAAAAATTTCCTTTCCTCTCCCCACCTAGACTTCTGACACTTTCTTTTGACCTTCACCCCTTTTACTGTCATCCTTTGCAATTTTTTTTTATAATCAAATACATGACATCATGTAAATATTCATTATGTACATTTGCAAAACCTTTCGTATTCATTTGGTGTTCAAAATTATGTTAAAAAATAAATTTGATGTTGATGTACTTGTTTTAATTGCAAATAAAAGTATTAAAAAAATACATTGCAAAAAAAAAAAAAGAAAAAAAAAAAAGAAAAAAAAAAAAATTGTGAATGTTTTAGCCCCGAGAACACGAGGAAGTCCACAATTAGACTAACTTGAATCTAGAATAGCTCTAGAACAGGGGTCGGCAACCTGCGGCTCGCGAGCCGCATGCGGCTCTTTTGATATCAAGATGCATTCATCAGAAATAGTTGAAAAATATCCTAAACATGGTTAGAAGTAATGTAGCGTAACCAGCACAAGAAAAAGAAGTAGACAACAACAAAAGAGCCAGTATCTTCCAAGCAATATTTATTATTGGCACATCCCCAGGGAAACACCCCAAAAACTGACCCGCGCCGTAAGCATAGGCGCTATTTAGTTGTTTATTTTCTACTTTTCAGTAATTGATAATTTGTGAATTCGACACATACCCTCTCTCCTCCCCCCCTTCTCCCCGCCCCCGTGAAAGCAGCCGTCTGTGATGACTGTTTACAGACGATAATGAAAAGATCAAACAAAACTTCTTACCTCTCCTTAGTTTTCAAATTGTTTAAAAGCTAAATTATCTGCCCCTAAAAGCCGTAACTAACCCAACCCGGCTCTACAATTGCAAATATTCGGGGTGAACAACTGGTGGGGTGGGGGGTGGTTGCGATATGCCTAGAGAGCGGGGCAGGAATAACTAAGCGTGGTGGTGTCTCGCATGGTCCCCACATAGAGAATTATATATATAGAAGATTATTAAGCCCATAATCTATCAACCCACCCCACCAAAAAAGTAAACAAAGTTACTTTTCTATTTTCTGATCGTTGAATCACCATTTAATTACACAATTGTATTTTCAGGTTTAAACATAAAATTGTAATTATGTAAAATGTGTATTATGTATAAATAAACCTTCCAAAATGACATGACAGAAAGAAGGATTACTACTGTAAATCTGTATCAGTCCTCATAAGCCGATGATGAAAACTGTAAGCAAACATGTCAAGATAAACTGACACTGTAAATTACATTAGTGACGCAAAAAAATAATAATACTGAATATTGAATCCGTAACACAAAGTTCATTCTGAACCAGGTTGTTTACTCTCAATTTCATTATGTAAACTGTGTTCACTCTACATTTCGTACACTCTATAATGTATATGGTCTTTCGAACAAACCTCTTAATTACTGTAAAAAAAAACAGCTATTACATCAATTTGATACAACAGTATTAACTTTAATATGATCTCTCTCAGATAAACCTGGTTCCAGCAAATGAAAGTTTCTACAGCATCGGAGCAGATAACAGACATCTGGAGGTCTCCCATGTGACCCGGTGCATCGTGACGACACGGACAATATTTGAACACACCAGAAGTAGAACTGGGTTTTCTGATTCTACTCGAGGTAAGAAAACACGAGTCGATTTTTTATTAGCTTTTTATCATTAATATTTTGTTTGTCTTACTTCTTTCATTACACAAAGCTTTTGTGTGTGTCAACTAGCCTGACTCAAAAGTTAACGATAATGGTTCGCTAAATGTACTTAGCTTAGAAGACTTCTAGTTTCTTTTTTTTTCCTCTTATTTCTTCCATCATACAAAGCTTTTGTCTTGTATTAACTACCCTGACTCAAAAGTTAAATATACTTATCTTAGATGACTTGTTCTAGTTTACTTAAATAAAAGTTTCAAATACATTAGCAAATTGTAATTGGCAAAACAACAACATTGGTGTTAAAAAATCCTAATCAAAAGATGTAATTAGTATAATTAGTTTATTGTCTGTTCTGTGTGTGTTAAGGTTTAGTATCAAACACTCCTTGTTCAAGTCAAGAATAGAGTGTGGTGTTTATTCGTGATGGTGTTGCTACCCTCACAAAGCACTTAAGTTGCATTTTTTAAGGCTTCAATTAAACACAGGGGTGGGGGTCGTCTATAAACGGTAGCATGTGTTTTTATGTTTATTTACACACCCCCCTTCCCTCTCTTCGCTGTCACAAAAAAGTCGACCCTCCTAAAATTACATCTTGTTACAGCTTTAAGAACTAATAAAATTGTATTTATTTTCTGTTTTATGACAAGGTGATTTATTTTAAAATAATAATATAGATTTGTCCAGATAAATTATGTCGATCAATTTTTTTCTAATAAATTACAAAAATCCACAGGTACTAACAGTAGAGTCGCCATGTCTTTTCTTGTATACATATCGCTTGCGTGCTTAGGTGAGTTATAGTTAGGTGCCCTTATACTGTTCTTTTTTTTAAGGATACAAACGCAAAAAAAATAAAAACATGCTAATAAAATCAGTGGTTGGATATTGAAGGATTTCCAAAAACTTGTATAAAATTTTATAGAAGTTAAGTTGTGGTTAAAATTTAGCGCTAGATTGCCAACCCGAAAATCTCGAGTTCGGATCCCTTGCTTAAGTCATTAGGACGTCCCTGAGGCTACCAGCCTCTGACAGAAACCTGACTCATGTTAAGTAAAGGCTGCTGAGCATAATGCTGACCAAACTATCCTTCCATAAACCGAAGTCTTAGAACTAGTTGAACTCTTCTTAGTTTGATCACGAACCGCCTGGTTCAAAAGTGTTATTTTATATTGGTAAAAACAATAGTTTTAAAGGAAAGTAACTCTTATGTTAATTCTCTCACCAGCTATGGCCTACGCCCACCCCAGCAATGGCGGCCAATCGGACAAGAGGGATCTGCTACAACTTGGAATACTCCTCGGCACCGTCACCGGAAACGCAGCCCTGAATTACAACGGATATGGATGCTTTTGTGGAGAGGGAGGCTTTGGTACCCCCGTTGACGAAGTGGATAGGTAAAATAATAGAATTGCGTATAGTTACGTTCCTTACATGTCCCCTGATTGCATGTGTCTGTTGTGTGTGCTCGAACGACAGATACCCTCCTTTGTGTGTATAGTTGTTACCCAAGGTTGAGTGTGTTTAGATGGAGCGAGAAGTTCTCACGGGAGGTGTGTCTGTAGTAATGTGTATACGAGCTTGAAATGGATTTTAAAAGACAGTAAACAAAACACATGCATCACACACACGTTCAAATATACAAATTGTATTTAATAATTGGCTAAGTAAGTCAGTCTATAACTCGAGCGTGTAAAGGAGAACAACCAAAGTATACAGAAAATTGATTAACCCAAGTAAACTGATGGTGAGTGTCAGACCATACCGACCATAAAACGATTAATATCATTTTCATCGACTGACCTGAGATGACGTGTATTGCAGGTGTTGCCAGGTGCATGACGATTGCTACGATGCACTGAGTGTCCACGGTTGTAATCCTAAAGCCGTGACCTATCATTACACCTGCTCTGGGCATAATTGTCACTGTAGTAAGTTATTTTCAAAATTTGATTATCTCCCTTTAGTTTACAGACCTTTAAAAATAATATTTACTTTTAGCTGTCTTTTTTTTTTTGTTTAATTCGGAAATTAACTTTTGGAGTATAGTTTATTTGTTTCCGTGACCTCGGCATAAGAAAAGATTATGCAGTCAGCACTATGCCCAGCTGCCTTTTGGTAAAGTAAGCTAGGTACATCTCAGAGTAGGGTAGACTCAGGGACGGTTGTCGGATTCAGGCCTGGTACCCGAAATTGGCTACATCGGGTTAGAAATCACACGCTCTACCTTACGACCACGCCTTCCCTTTTACTTGTAAGTTTATATTATCATAAACGTCTGTCCCTTGTTACTTACTCCTTCCTTTTCACTACATCCTTGTGTGGTTGGTTATGAATAGCAAACGTTCTGCTTTGAGTCTCTACTGTGGACAGATACTTGTGTCATCTTAGGATAGATGTAAATATAACTAGTGGCATAGCAGGATTTTGTTAGAGGCTGATGGAGGATTGACATACGAAATACTGTATTTCACTTTTTAATTTCTCAAAAGTAAAAAAAAAGATATCATTAATTTGTGTTCTCATCGTCATTATCACCACCATTATCATCATTTCTGTGGATCCCTTTGCCTAGCATAGGGACGCAAACACACCTATCTAACGTACTGAATTTTGTGCGAATCCTACACATTACGGCAGCTTTTGCTTCATTACAACTGAAATTGTCCAACTTTGTTTTGGCCTGCTTACTCTCCTCTTTCCTTGGGGATTCGAATCTAGCCTTTCTGTTCTATGATATATGATATTAAAATAGACCATTGCCCATTCTTTCAGACACCCACACATCTTCGTGTGCGGACAGAGCGTGCACGTGCGACATCGACTTCGCCAACTGCGTCGCCGCACAACCATACGACGGCAGGTTCTACCACTACAACCACGACAACTGCTAGTGCATCAATCGACTGCAAAGACTTGACGCTACAGCAACAGCCACGCTAACAACTAGGAATTGTAGCAACAGAGACTTCTTAGAAATACTTTATATTGATCATGAACAACAAAAATCTTAGTGCCTTTAACCATTTATCTCATTGTACAACAGTAAAACAAAACTTCACACATAAAGCGAATTGTATTTTTAATCCTTTATCATAATGCAAAATAATAACATAAATAGCCATGTTTAAAAAGAAATACTTATACCGTTTGTTTTTTAACAATTTTTTTTCTAAAATACAGACTAAGTTCGGTCAACATAGAGTATTTGAATCAATGTCTATTGCAATTTATTAATTTTTCTCAAACGTGAAATAAAGGCTTAAGTACTGTTTCTAACATATTTTTATTAAATGCAAAATACCTCAACCCCCCCCCCCCCCCCACATCGTCATGTATGTTGATAGACGCCCCCCCCCCCCCATTTTGGGGCGTAAATAGATAGTTAGCCCCCAGCACCAGAATGGGCCACTGCGCCCGTGAAACTTGCTGGTCGGTAACATTTAATTGTGCTATAAGAAATCTACAATTTCGCAATTAACAAAGCAAGAAAAAGAGTAATAATATTTTTATACTGCTTTGAGCTAAGCAGTTCATAAAAAAAATAAAAAAAATAAACGTGCCTTTAATATTTCTTAAATTATTGCACTTTGAAAATATTTTGGAATAAATTAACATAAAATGTTTCGTTATTACGATTTATTTACATAAGCACATTACTGAGCACCAGATAAATATATTAGTTTCAAAAGTAAATTATATTTTTTTATTAAAATAAAGTATTTAAATGGCTAGACAAGTGTATGAGATTAGGACATGATACTGTTATATCGTTCAACAAAACATTTAACCTGTTAACACATAGCTGCATCCTTCACGGCGCAGTACTTGTCCTTGATTTTTTTCATCGTCAAACTAGGTCTGGTTTTTTGTTGTAAGTTGTTTTTGTTGTTTGTTTGTTTGTTGTTGTTTTTTTTTTTAGTGGATGAAAAAAAATTAATATTTTGGGCCAAAATCAAACAATTGTATTTTGATTCTATTTTCAAAAAATAAAATATGTTTAAAGTGCTTTATTAGTATTTGCAAATCTGTGTATTTAGATTGTACTTTCGAAAAATAAATTATTGTTATAGTACTTTTTAAGTATTTGCAACCTTATTGTATAGCAATTTAAAAAATAACTTTGAAAATGGAGATGTTTGGTAGAAGCATAAAAAAAATATGCTCTTACATTAAAGAAAGGGTAGGACTCCAAAAATAAAAATAGAATAACCATTTAATTACTAAATTAAATAATTCTAGGACATTTCCACCCACTAAATTAACACCTAACATGATATTGGACCCCATCTCGCAGATACCAATTAGACACAATAAAGCCTCCTAACTTCTAATAATGTCCTTCTATTTTCATTCAATAGAAGTTCTATTGAATGAAAAGGGAAGGACAGAGGACGAAATCTTGCTTTTTGCCTATACATTTTATAAATTGTCGAACACGGGTAAACGGCTTATCCCTAATAATGATTAAACAAACATTCCTTTTTATGATTACGTAATTCAATGAGCTTTGAGAATGTTGGCGGGAATTTCTAGCTTGACACTAGACAAGTGCCATGAGTGGGTAACAATTCCCAAATAAAAAGTCCCAGGAAAAATGGCCATTTGAAAAAAAAAGTAACAAGAAAAAAGAAATTCAGATGCATTAATACAACTATCAGCATGTACAATTAACAAGTGTAAATGTTAAACAGCCACCAATAACAAAATATCCTTATTACATTCATAACAAGCAATTTTTCTTTGCAATTATTCAGCTATAGCAGCTAGTAACTTAATGTACACAACTTTAAAATATTCATTGCAGTAATAGTGATTGTTTCCAAGCTCGGTAGCATGTATCTTTAGTTTTTTAGATTATGTTACTTTGATCTTTTTTCCAGTTTTTTCTTTTTATTATTAGTAAAGAAAGTACTAAATAAATGTAATACATTTACTTTAAGTTGCTGACATCAATTAGTGAGATTATAGTTAACAGGCAGATTAGCTTAGTTACTTCACATAGATTTAAAGATTAAAAGTAAAACACCACAATGACTAAAATATTTTGAAAATCAGGTGATATTATATTGACATATATAGTTCTTTTTAGTATGCAGGATAATACTGTCTTACTGGATGCATATATTATAAAGATAGCTGCCCAAAACAGAGTCAGGTGGAGAGGTGTGGTTACAGCCCGTTGCCCCCAGGGTCCACAAAGGAAGAAGAAAGGTAATACAGAGATGTTAATAATATTTATCAGGCATTATTTAGCATACAACAAGATAACATTAATTTCAACAATAACTTTTAAAGCCAATGAACATTGAGACAGATGATAAAAATCAGCAAGACTGCTCAAACATCAAAAAATTACAAGCAGTGTTCGCTATAGTGTTTGATTGTTCTAGAAAAAAAACCATAGTGGGTATTAACAAAATCTGTATTTCTTGAACAGAAAACAAATACTTAAAACAAAACATTTGTTAGTAAAACAACTAAAATATCAGTGTTAAAAGAAATTTTAGGTGACTAGGCCTAATTTGTGAGAGAATATTCTTAAGATACAATCCATCAAAAGCATTTCTTTCCAGAAATTAATTCTATTTTTATAATATTACCATATTTTTCTATTCACTATAAAATACCATTTTATTCCTTCAAGTGGATTTTCTGATGTCTAGATAAGCTATACCTTTGACCAAACTTTTTATGGCAAATATCACATTCATGTTGTTTTTCTAAAGTATGATTTTTTTTGTGCTTATTTAGAGAACTCTTGTGAAAAAAAGTTTTCTGACACACATCACATTCAAGCTCTTGAAGTTCAGAATGAATTTTCTTATGCTGCAATAATTTACCTTTCAGAGCAAATTTTTTATCACAAACATCACATTTGTATGGTTTTTCTAAAGAGTGTATACTACTATGTCTTGATAAAAGATGTTTTTCAATAAATTGTTTATGACAGACTTCACATTCATATGGCTTTTCTTTAGAATGTACTTTTTTATGCTTATTTAAAGCAGTTTTGTGAAGAAATCTTTTACAGCAAACATCACATTCATGCTGCTTAACTTCGGAATGACTAGCTAAATGCTTTAATAAACTAAATTTCAGAGAAAACTTTTTAGGACACATGGAACATTCATATGGCTTTTCTCCAGAATGAATTTTTTTATGTTGAGAGATAGACTTTAGAGAAAAAATTTTATGACAAACATCACATTCTTGTCTCTCTCCTGTGTGAATTATCACATGTTTTTTAATGCTATCCATATGTGCTAATTTTCTATTACACATATCACAGTTGTAAGTCTTCTTATTTTTTTGTATTGATTGTTTGTGCATAAACTTAAGATTTAGTGATCTCATATTAAACTCTGGTTCCAAAAGAGAAGAGTGTTCATGATAAATAATTGAATTCTGTGAACTACTTAGCTGCATGATTGGACCATGTGGTGCTTCATCCTCAGAAGTTGAACCTGTTGATACATCAGCCTCCATCTCATTAAAAATTGAATATGTTGAAACCTCTTGCTTAATATCACCCATAGCTAATATGGCATCTTGAGAAGTTGATAAGGTTGATATATCTGGCTTGATATCCTCATCATTTGAAAAGTTAGTAAAAACATCAGAATCAATATCCTTATTTGATCCATATTTACCCAGTAATGGCAAGCTATGTTCTCTTTCCATTTCTCTTTAGCTCTAGACTGGTATCTAAAAATTTCAAAATTTTGATTTTTAAAGTCAAAGACAATATTAAGTAATGCTCAATTTTAAATAATTTACTTATGGTAAACAGACATATGGGGAAGCATCATGTAAAAAATTTTTACAGTAAACTGTGGAAGGTCATACCACAGACAAAAAGCCTACAACTTATGCATTGGAGATTTTAAAAATATAATATTCCAGCTGTTATAATCAGTGTCAAAAATAATCTATATATATAATTCACTTCTGGGAGACGCAAGAAAACAAGCTGTAAGCGCGCTCCCTACCTCCCCACCCCTACATGGTCTGGTGAGCTGTGGTTCACGCTAAATGTTTGTTTACATTCGTAGAGCCGGGTTTAGTGACGGCTATTAGGGGCAGATAATTTAGTTTGAAATAATTTTAAACTATGGGGAGGTAACTAAGAGGAGGCTGCTTTCACGAGGGGGGGGTGTAGGGTAGGGGTTGGGGGAAAGGAGGGTGGGGGTAGTATTGTCCTTAGCGACCTACTGATAGTGTTCTAAAGCAAATATTTTCAGTGGCAGCATTGGTACTGTCGATTTCACAAATTATGAATTACTGAAAAGTAGAAAATAAAACAACTAAATAGCGGTGTATGATATGCCGCAGGTCGGCTCGTAATAAATAATACAAATAAGCCTAACTAACAAGAAGTAGATCTAGATATAGTAAAATATAACTAAGTAAGACTGTAGAACATACAGTAGGCCCCCTTTAGCTAAAGTACAGAGTGAAAAGATACCTACATAGAATACATAGATACTAGATCTAGGTTGAAATGAATTAATCTAGAATAATTTTAGACTAACTTTAGTATTTAAGACTTCCACTAAGCCACTGAGTTAGACTGAGTAGATCTAGATCTAGATTCTAATCTCCCTTACTCTAGCCTAGACCAAAATTTATCAGCTAAGTAAGTCAAAGTCTAGTAGTTAGACTACTAGATCTCTAAGATCTGGTTCAAAATCTAGTCACTAGATTCTAGTAATCATTCTAGTATGTAGATCTAGATCTAGAAGTGAATCTCAGAATCTTGACTTGACTTAGTCCTCATTGCTCCTTATGGAACATAGGGCCTCCACCATTTCCTTCCATTTCGTCCGATCCCAGGCTATTAATTTTGCAATCTCCCAAGACATCCCTGTTGGCTTCAGTAATCTCAGAATCTAGTGTCTACTTTTTTTTTATTTACTACTAGATCTAGTAGTAGATCTAGTACTAGATTAGAATTGCCTATAAATCTAGATCTTTGTAGTCTAAGATACACTACAGCTAGTTAGTAAATAAACCAACTACTAAATCTAGATTCTAGATTTTATTACTAACAAACTAGATTCTACTACTGTCTACTAGACTTAAATTCTAGTACTAGATCTAGATTCTAGACTCTAGATCTAGAATCTAGATCTAGCCTAGATCTAGAACTAGAATGGAAGTGCCTATTCGGACTCAGGTCCTAAGATAGCCCCGGCCCCTAACCCTAGACGCACCTGTCCTAAGTGAGCCTGGCCCTAACTGTAACTAGAACTAGATCTAGTTCTAGATTCTAGATCTAGATCTAAGTCCTAAACTGAGTAAACTTAAAACTCCTAGATCTAGATTATTCTAGATATAGATCTAGATCTACCTAAAAAAGGCAGGGCCTAATTTTTTTTTAAATCCTAAATCTGCTAACTGCTAAAGACTAAAGTTAAATTAGTTAGGCCCTAAAGTTAAATAAATTAATAAAGGCTAAAACTTACTAATCCCAATCATTGAATCAATTGTATAAAAATTACTTAGGCCTACTCGTCTTACTTGTTTCAAAAGTTTGATTATAGATCTAGATATCTAGATCTAGATCTAGATGCTCGATCTAGAATCTAGTTAAGTAAGAGTAGATTTCAGTAGAGCTTAAACTATCAAACTGGAGTTTACTTCCAAAACTTGGCCTCACACTGCTTTCATTTATTTTGATCTATTTATATCTGGCTGAAATTTAAAAGCAGAATCGCATTTTTATTGTGTATACTAATTTATGAAAGCTCATCTCCTTTGTCAGCTTAGACTTCTGGCACTTGTAACAATATTCTACGCAATTAAAGAGAAAAGACATATTATTTGTGACGGAAAATACAGTTTTGCATTTCTTTAAAATAAAAATTACAAAAACCACGACACTAATTACTTATGTATCAACGTGTGAGTGCACTCAGTGTTTTTTCTTAAATTAAAACAAATTACAACTTCATGTCATGTGTGTAAGTGCATTAGTGTGTTTTGTGAAATCAGTGTTGTTTTATCTCTGCTATAGGCCCTCTTAACATTCAGTTGGCCAAAAGAATATAAAACATGAAAGCTTTGCAGAAGTAATGGTGTCTCGTGTTATGGTTATTTTTATGTTGTTTTTTTTTATTCATATAATTAAATACATTTCCTATTTATACAATGTCATTCTTTAGTAAGTACTTTATATAAAAAAATAATTAAGAGAAGTAATTGCTTTTCAATTTGTTTAGTACAAATCTATTAATAGGAGCTTATGAGCACCCCTATTTGACTATTAAAAAAATGGAAATATGTCATGGAAGTGGTTTGAACGTTTGCTTATCTTTGCTAAGTTTAATTGTAGGTGAAAAATGACTCGGCTTTCACAGTGGTTTAAAAAGAAAGGGAAAAAGAATTTACAAGAGCGTGGGGTGGTGTCTTTGAATAAAGATAATCCAACCGCAGCTACAGTAATCGTTTTACAAAACAACCATCAAGTCAAAAATGCAAGAAAAATAGATAATTTTTAACTATAGAAAAAATATATTATGGTCTGCTGTGGGCCCCTAAATGTCGTGCCCCCCCCCAACCCCCCCCCCCCCCCCCCACCTCCCCCCCCCCCCCCCCACGCATTGCGGGGTCTGGTGTCACTGTAGTTCCGCCCCTGAGTGCACTAAACTTAAACAAATGATTATTCATTTTGTATGAGTTCCATGCAAAAGACTATATTCATGTTGTTATGATGCGGCTCCCTTATGATTATAGCACTATAGATCTAAGCCTACGGTGTTTCTTTCAAAGACGACATAATAATAATCTATTACGTGAATCCCGTTCCAAAGTTTTTTTACAAAGCAGAATAAATCAAATTAGGCCTAATACAAAATTATAATTGATAGCATATAAACAAACTGCAAAGTAACAACATTACGCTGAGCGCAATAAAACCTTTAAAAATATCCTACACAAAACTGCTACACATACAATTGAAAAATAAGACAAACCAAAAACCACATGTGATTAAAACGATGTGAAAGAAATAATACATATCTTTGAAATGACAACAGCTAGTTTAATGTGTAGTTCCCTCTAAAGTTAAACAATACAATTATGGATCAACTGAATAGTGACAAGCTTGTGTGTTAACTAGCAACGCTTTAAATTATAGACTTGAGAGAAAACATTTTTTGACAAACAACACATTCTTGTCTCTCTCCTGTGTGAATGATCACATGTTTTTTTTAATGCTATACACACACACATGGTTCTATATAAAGTTCGGTAAGTGAAAGGTCTACATAAGATTTTATTTAGGCATACCGATATTACAAAAATGCTTGTAAAAGTATGAAATATAATTTTTTTTTCTATTTCAGCTCAGTTTTAATGTCTGTTTAAGTGACTGACGGATGAATGTAAAGACCTTGATTATTTAAATGTGTACAAGTTTGCATATGAATATTAAGTGTGGTATTGTGTGTGTGCCTGCATGTACCAATATACTAAAAACGTCCTTCATCATACGTTTTTTTTTAAATAAAATGTAATACTGGTTTATTAGATTAATCTTCGCTAGCTGTCTAGTATATCAAAACCTTAACATGTTATTCTTTTTCTTCAACCAGTCTATTCCACAATGTTAAAAAATGATTTTTTCATGAAAAACACATCGATGTTCCTGCCAATTTTGGTAGGGTCCACAGGAACGTACACTGTGCTGTTGAACGAACAAGCGTACCCATGGAGGTCCATAAACTCTAAAACAGGGGTACTTTCCTCCGGGAGGCGCTTATGCCACTCCATCTGCATGACGCGCACGTCCACTTCTCTAAAGAAACGGTGCGCACTCATCAGCGCGAAATGTTCCGATTTCTCAATGTCCATTTTGATGTAGACGGGTTTTCCCGACATCAGGGGGATTAAGTCGTCCATGCAGATTGTCTTGACTTCTCTCTTTGAGTGGGATGTGTCCACATATTCCTCCCGGAAAACTCTCGATGCGTTAATACTGGATTGTTCAGAGGCGTAGCGAGTGGGGAGGGAGGGGGCGGTACATATGTCCCCCGGTGCTGACTCAAGGGGGGCGCCAAAATGGGTTGAAAAAAACTTAAAAGCTCATTTTACTTGCAGTTTTGCATATAGATGGGCGTGGGGGACGGGGGGGGGGGGGCGCCAAATTGAAAGTTTGTCCCCGGGCACCGGGACGGAGTGGTCTAGCGGTAGAGAGTTGGACTGCTAACCCGTAAGTCTCGAGTTCGAATCCGGGTTCAAGTCAGTAGACCATCCCTGAGTCCACCCTGATGGGTACCTAACTCACGTTAGTGAGAGTAAAGGCGGCTGGGCATAGTGCTGACTACACTATCTCTTCATATGCCGAGTTTACAGAAACAAGTGAACTCTACTTCACTTGCCCCATAGACCGTCAGGTTTGAAAGGGAAACTTTACTTTTACCAGGTGATTTAATGCTGTTTAGTGTGGGGCCCAGTTAGCGATTGGGCCTAGGGTTATTTTTGCAAGTAGCGTAGAATTATTTTTAAGGTAGGCAATTTTTAGCGCAATTTCCATTCTGGAGAATTGCGTTTATTAACCCGTCATTTCTGTATGGATGGATGGATGGATGGTTGGATGGATGGATGGATGGATGGATGTCCGCAGCTTTAAGTCGTATCTCCTCCTCAACGAAGCAATATCGAGGACTAGTTCCAAAGCA